AAAAAAAAAAAAAAAAAAAGTTGAAAATAATCGAAGAAAATTACAGATTTTTGTGTGCACAGATCCTTAGCCTTCTTCACGACCCTTTCGGCAGTCTTCTTCAAATCCGCCTCCACAATCGGCAGCACATCCACAGAACCTACAAAAACACAGACATCGGAAACAAAAACAAAGTTAGAAGAAAAAATAATTTCCGAAAATTAATCGCATCTCCCATTTTCGCGATTGCAAAATCAAAACGAACAACGATGATACAAATGCGGCGATGCGAATCTGAAAAAGTTTAATACCGAGGCCGCCGAAGCCGACGGCGGTCGACGGCAAGGGCTTGGCGTGAACGACGACGAGCTTGAAATGGGAATTTTCCGGCGAGGGGGAGAAGAAGTGCTGCAGAGTCCACTCCAAGGCGTAGAAGCTGTGGTCACTTTCGTCGAGCCCCACAACCATCGTTGATTTCTCCATGCCTGCAAAAAGCTTGATCGGAATTTGAAAATTGAGCTGATGCCTAAAAAAAAAAATTAAATTGGTGCGTGAAAAAACAGAGTGAAGAAATGGATGAGCTGTGTGTGATTTCTGATTTTCTTTTTATAGAGAGGGATGATGTAGAAAACCGGATGCTTAAAAACCGGGCGCCTTGTAAAGCAAGTAACTATGGCTACTTGTTTTGGCCTAGTTGAAACTTTTGGATTTGCGTCTAATGATTGCTATTTTTTAATGGGTTAATCTTTAACTTTTTGTTTAATTACAATTTATAAATAAAATTTACTACCTCCTTTTTTAAATAAATGTCGTTTTGACTTTTTTGATTCATTCATTTTGCTATGTATATAGACATTAATATGTCTACATACATAGCAAAATGAATGAATCAAAAAAGTCAAAACGGCATTTATTTAAAAAAGGAGGGAGTAACTTTTTTAATTTGGCAAAAATATATCAAACTTTTATTAAGTGTTGTAATTTTGTCTCAACCGCCGCCAACCGTCACCCGCCGCCGGCCAACTTCACCGGATATTGAAAATTTTTACATGATCTTGTAGCCCTCCTCCGTGCCAACAACATATCCGAGTTTTACAAAAAAATTCCGACGATAAGACTTCCAATTTTGGTCAAAGGTTGTAGAAAATTTGTAGATCTACGACCTTTGACCGGAAAATTGGAAGCCTTATCGTCGGAATTTTTTTGTGAAATTCGGATATGTTGTCGGCACAGAAAAGAGCTACAAGATCATGCAAAAATTTTCAATATCCGGCGAAGTTGGCCGGCGGCGGGTGGCGGTTGGCGGCTGCGGTTGGCGGAGGTCCGACGGGTGAGACAAAATGCAACACTTAATAAAAGTTTAGTATTTTTTTGCCAAATTGAAAAAGTTGAGTTTTATTTGCATTAAGCAAAATGTTGGGTTTTTTTATGCAATTAACCCTTTTTAATTCCAAAAGTTAGGATATTATCATTATTTTAAATAACTCGTTATATAGTATTTTTTTTTTTGAGAAAACACGACGTAGTTGTTTATATATTTAGTGTTTTTCTCAAAAAGCCTACGCGTAATATTCAAATGGCACGCTTTCTTACGTTATTTTGCGTTATTTCACGCTATTGTGCGCTACATTGCGCTATATTTCTACAATGATATTTGAACAATAAAATATTCAAAAAATTATATTCATTATGGATCATAGTCATATTTACAAATGACAATTAAAAACTACAAATTTAGATAATGATTTCAAATTAAAAGTTTGAAAATGCAAAGTCCTAAGTTGCACAGTGTAATATTTTTCAGTCCATTTTTGTTATATCATTTTAATTTTCTATATTTAACATTTAAATAGAGATAAAAAAATCATATTTGGTTAGAATTAAGTTGTAGCTAAATAAAAAAATAATAATTAAAATGTATATACTTAAAATTATACTATGGCTTATCTCATTATATTTTCGTTGTTTGTTTTTATTTTTTAGCATATTCGACTTATTATTTAAATATTTACATTATGATGATATTTACATTAAATATTTGTGAGAAATAATCCTTAGATGTTATTTTTTAAGTCGTTCAAATATTATGATAATTTTTGTAATCAACCATTAATTTTATTATATGTAAATATATTTGTAATATTTCAATAAAAAAATTATACCCAAATAGCTTACGCAACACGCAACGCTATTTACGTTACGCAGTATAAAGACCATAGCGCGACGCATTACGTTATACGCGTTTTAAAACACTGGTTATTATATATAAAAGAGCACACTTGCATGGGAGGGGATTGGACTACATTTATATGGAAATGCTACGTTCCCGTTATGAAATCATTCCGTCGGGGTTTGTAACTCTTAGGTCATCTATCTCCGATGGATACATGATGATTTAACGGAATTTGTAACAGATCATCTATCCTGACGATTACATGATCATCTAACAGTTACAAATCCCGACAAAATGGTTCCGTAACGAGACCGTAATATATCTCCCTTATTTATAATTTATCTTATTTAGTAAGATTATTAGAAATTTTCTATCTCTAGCTTGGTAAGATTTTATTTGAATAAATAATTATAATTTAAATAAATACTAAAATGAGGGAAATGTTAATTTACTCTTTTTTCTTTAATCTTTTTTTCCTTCTATCACCGTCTCCTTTCCTTTTCTCTTTTACAATCCAATTTATTTCCTTTTCGCCTTTCTCTTTTAATTTCTTTTATTTATCTTCATCTTCTTTTTCCTTATCCTTCTTTTTTCCTTTATTTCTTCAATGTGTTTCTTTCTTTTCCTACTTTTATCTTATTTTTTGGACACGAGATATCTTTTATTTATTTTTTCTTTATTTCTCCATTATCTATATTTTCTCCAATATTTTTTCTTTTGGCCTTTTACCCTTTTATTTTCGTTTCATCTTCTACTAGTACAACGTCTGTATATTACACAAGTGTTTATTAAAATTTTCTCTTAATATTTAAAAATAATGAGGAAAAATAGTTGAAAATTAAATAATTTATATATATATATATATATATAAGTATGACACTTGTTACTTGTGCGACTTTTATTTGCTATATTATAATAATTTTTCTAACTTATAATATATAACTACATTAAACATGAATATATTAATTGAGAAATAATTTTATTTTTAATTAATTTTAATAATTTTTTTTATATTATTGAAAAGATAAATATAATTTATTTATTTTTTATATACAATATGGATGTCAGATCGAAACTCATCAAAAGATGATTAATTTGATACATTATATATATATATAACCAATAAGAAATACAAAAGTTATTAACTTTTAAAATACATTTACAATTCAATAGTTATAATAGGGAATGATTTTAAAATACAATTAATACATCTAAAATGATCATAAATAAATCAATATATTTATGGTAATCCGAACCTAATCCATTTTTTTATTAATCCATAACGCGTTGAGCCTTCGTGGTTGCTTCTGGTGTTTCGGAATCATATGTGGCAAAATTACATGCTTTGTTATTAGACTTGGATAAATTTTAATTTAATTCCAAACAAAAAATAATTAGGTTCGGATTACCATAAATATGTTGATTATTTATGGTCATGTTACATGTATTAATTGCATTTTAATATCATTCCTTATTATAACTATTGAATTGTATATATATTTTAAAAGTTAATAACTTTTGTATTTTTTATCAGTTTTACATATGTAATATATCAAATTAATCTTCTTTTGATGAGCTTCAATTTAACATCCATATTGTATGTATAAAATAAATAATTTATTTTTATCTTTATAACAATAATAAAATTATTTTTAATACTAATTAAAAAAATAAAATTATTTATCAACTAAGATATTTATATTTCAAGTAGTTATATGATATAAGTTATAAAAACTAATATAATATAACACATGTAAGTCATAAGTAACACATATAATATATATATAATTTTTTTTTTTTTTTTTGTAAACAAGTAACCTAAATTTAATATAACTTTCTCATTAATTTCAAAATTTAACAATAATTTTTTAACAAGCACCATGTAATACACGAGTGTTGTACTAGTTAGGTTTAGATTGGTATTAAATTAAAATCTATCTAAGCCAAATAACAAAGCATGGAATTTTGACACTAGTATTCCGAAGCATGCGAGCCTGCCACTTAGACTTAGCACATTCGAGAATTATATATAGGGAAATTTGTTGCTAATGGCGGCGACCCGCCGGACCACTAGCGGATCATGGTGATGGCTTCTAGGATGCGGGATCACACCAAAATTTGTGTTGGGCTATTGTGCAGAAGAAAAAATAAGTAACATTTTGTTCTTAAATTAGGGTTTTTTTATTTTCTAAAATTTTGGTCTAAATATGAATTTGAGGTTTTCTTGTTTTAATTTTTGGTAGAAAAACAAATTTGAGATCTTGCAACAGAGATATAAAATCTGCATTTGATTTATTTTGTTTACAATACATAAAAAACTGGAAAGAATGACGGTTGCGTGGCAAAGGTGGGGAAGAGTGACGGTGAGGTTGGGACAACGACACACTGCTGACTCGGTGACCGGTGGGCGGCTGCAGCGGACATTTATGTAATTTACTCTTAAAATCAACCTCGATAAAATTTATCATAGCCCTTCCCCCGTGATAGTTTACTCGTGAAAATCCAAAATTATGGTGAATTTATCACTGGTCAACCATTATCACGTGGGTTTCAATCTGCACTACCAAACGTAGGACCCCATGATTAATTGGGTAATCCTGTCTAATCCGCCTAACCAAATGTGCTTTAATTGTATTTGTTAATTGTGGTCATAGTAGTGATGTGTAACATTATGCAAATTGGCAACTTTGTAGGAACATAGTCAAGGAGTTGAATAATAAGTTGATTTAGTGCAGCTGCGAGTGTGGTTATTCTAGCTTTGCTAGTGTCAGGATTTTAAGCGGTGTTCTGACTTGTCCTTCCACATTTTTAGTTTGGGACTGCAGTGTTCCATTCAGCTTAGAGCTGCAGTGTAATTGCGTATTTGTACATTTTGATTTATAATATTTTCTATCGTTTTGAAAAAAAAAAAATAAACAGGAGGAGTGTAAATTTGCCAAAAATATATATATTAGAGGCCATTTAATTGGGCCGTAACCGTTTCCGTCAGGCCTATAATACGTCCAGTAAACAACGAATTGGGCCCAACCCTTTGCAAGCCCCTCTTTCAACCTTCACACGCTTCGTATCCACGTGTGAGGCCTTTCGTTTTACACGCATTAAAAGTTATTCCCAGCAGGGTTTAAAAATGACGGTGCCTACTTAAGCTCGTTTTCAACTATATATTCTCTCTGTGCTTCGTTTCTAGGGTTTTCGAATCAATCAAGCTCCTCATCTTCTTCGCAAGTCAAAACTCGAAAATGAGGTAAATATTTCTCTTCTAGAGCTCAGTTTAACAGGCTCGATTGCCATGGAATAGTAATCGTTCTTCTATTTTGAAAAATCTGTTTGTCTTTTCAGTTTCCCGATTGTAAGTTTCGATTTCGATGCGTTTTTTCGTATGTTTTTAAAGCTTGATTGATTGTTACTCGATGTATGAGAGCAGAAGAGAGTTCATGTTTCGATGAGGTTGATTTTCTCGTTATTTTTTATGTTTTGTTTTAGTTGTTTGATAGGTCTTGTTAACCTGTTTATGAATGATTATGAAAAATAGGAAGGTTCTGTGAAAGTAGATACTGATTCAATCATTTGTGTAAATTCAAGATTGTTATTTATGAATGTTTGCTGTCAATACGGAGTAATCTGTCGAATAATATGCATCTTAGGAGCATAAATTTGGATAGTTTTATGCGTATGTGGATGTTTCCTGAAATAACAAAGCGACCTGTGTGATGAATTGTTGTTCAATATCCTAAAATGCAGCCGACACCCTGAAGTGAAGTGGGCCGAAAGGGAGGACAAAGTGTATCTTACTGTGCTGCTGTCAGATGCTAAAAATCCAAAGGTCAATGTTGACCCTGAAGGAACATTTACCTTTTCTGCTACTGCTGGTACAGACAACAATCTCTATGAAGTCAAACTGAATCTACTCGACAAAATTAATGTGGAGGTGAGGTACCCATGCCACATTTGCTATGCTTTTATGATTGGCAAATGTTGGGATATCTTATGTAGGAGTTCGTGTGTGTTCCATTTTGAATTTGTTTTTTAGGTTATATGAATGTTTCGTTTTGATTTGATGGCTCTACAAAGTTTCAACCCACCATTTGGTATTATATGTAATAAATCTGTTCAGCATTTGTATTAGGAGTATCTAAGTTAGGTGGAAATATGGGTTGTTTATGGTTCATGTTAGAGCAGATATAAGTCTGTTTTGGCATGGTTGGGTAACAAGCAAATTGGGTTTTTGTAGGAGAGCAAGATAAACATAGGTCTGCGTAACATATTCTGTGTTTTGGAGAAAGCCGAGAAGAAATGGTGGACAAAATTGTTGCGTGGAGATGAGAAGACGCCTCACTATGTTAAAGTAGACTGGGATAAATGGGTGGATGAAGATGATGATACTGGTAAACTTTGCATCTTTGTTTTGTGCCTTGTCTCTGTAGAAATTTAACCATTTTTTTTGGAAATAATTGAAATTGATGCATTGTTCAAAATTCCGACAGGTGCACCATCCGATCTTGATTTGGGTGGAATGGATTTCTCGGTAAGTCTCCAATTTTTCTTGAGCTCAATTTGGATACCTCATTAACTGCTGATTTTATGTTTCTGCAATTTAATTTATTTTACAGAAATTTGGCGACATGGGTGGCTTGGGTGGTATGGGTGGCTTGGGTGGTATGGGTGGTATGGGTGGTTTGGGTGGCATGGGTGGTTTGGGTGGCATGGGTGATATGGGTGGTTTAGGCGGCTTGGATGGTATGGGAGATGACTTTGAAGACTCTGACGACGATGAAGGTACTAGTTAAAGTGATTTTTGTCTCTTTAGTTTATTTCATCTGTTAAAATGATTGGAGGTTTATTAGAAGTCAGCCAAAGCCCAAAGGATTTGGGTTTATTTTTGTGTTGGTTCTTTATATATATTTGTTGATAAAACCTTTTTCTTTGGGAGTTTGAAATAGGCACAAGTATGACCTCTTAAAATTAGATTTGTTAGATACAAATTGGATTTGAGCATTTGCTGGTTATATGCAAACATCAACGATGATTTTGGGCTAAAACTTTAAGTGGTTGTTATTCTATGATATAAACAGTCTATTGTAATTAGACTGACCATTTGGCGAGTTCATGTAACCTTTGATATTATTTATGTATTATTGTTTTTTCCATAGACGTGAAATAAAACCAATCTATCGCATGTTACTTAAAGATTTGCTCAATTATACCATCAATTGTTGTTCACACTTATCTGTCACTGGTTTGTAGAAATTAACAAGCCAGAAGGGAAAGCTGCTGCTGACAAGGCAGAGGGAGAAGCTCCCAAGGACAAAGCAGAAACTGCACCAAGTACATGAGTGGTTGTCTTTTTAACTCTTAGTCTTTTACAAAGGGCTTATATCCTTTCTGTTGGGAGTTACCAAGTTTGGTAGTTAGTTACGCAAGACATGTTTCTCTTTGAAAGAGTGAGGATCTTTTTACCTTATCAATCTTAGTACTGATGAGAACATCGACATGTGTGCTCTTTCGTGTGGTACTATATTTCTGTCCTATTTGTGGTGCTGTATTTTTTAGCCGACCTTGCGAGTGATATGGGTTGCTGATTGTTTGATGTGTTTCATTTAGTCGAAGAATAAGTGGAATTCGTAATCGGTATGGTAAGTTCGATTCTACTAACTTTCTTCACTGGGTTTTTATCCATGTCGGATAAAATTTTTACCAATCGGTGGATGCCTGATTACCTTTGTCTGCTCATTTATAGTTATAATTGCTTTTATGCGAAAGTGGAATAGCACATATTAGCATTGTTTTTTACTTTAATTGTTTTGCTTGATCTTCTGGGGCATGTTAGGACTCTTCTCCCAATTTAATCTGCATGGTAATTGGTCTCTGCCGTTTCTTTTACTTGCTGGGAGTTTGGCAGAGGAGCTGTTTTGGGAAGGGAGATAGTTATGTAATAGAACTAAATAAACAACAGCAAGTTGATTGCATTATTCCACTCTCTCAACTTTGAAATCCATCATAACTATGTGGCGCCCATCGAGTCCTCTGAACCCAGAGCGCAAGTGTTTGAGCCATGTGATGCTCGACACATGGACTGTACCCCTTGCTAAGAGAATGATCGAGACATGACCTCCCCCAGAGAAAACATGGTGTATAGAGAGAGGCATTGCCCTCTGGAAGAAGAAAAATCCCAAAGCCTAAAGGCTACATGACCCCTTTCCACTGGCCAAAGAGTCGGCTGAAATCTTTTTGGAGGGCTTGCCAGTGAAAATTTGATATGTCCGAGTATGTATATACACAATACCACGTCTGTATATGCACATTAAAAGTTTATGAATTTACCAAAACGTCAACGCGCTTCAAAATACACAATAGTATTAGAAGAAGGGTGCATTAATGATTGCGAGACAGTAGTATTAGAAGAAAGGTGCATTAACGACTGCTAGAATGCACAATAGTGTATTTAAAAGTTCACTAAATATGCATATTAAAAGCTTACAAATTTACCAAAATGTCAATGCGCGACAGAACGCACATTAGTGCTAGATAAAGTGCACACTAATAATTGTCAGAATTCACCATAGCGTAATATTTAAAAGATCGCAAAATTTACTAACATTGTGCTATATAATGCACAATAGTGCTATACGAAATGCAATGAACATTAGTATAAAAAATCTAAAAATACGTCTTTGTGAACTTCTCAAGTTTTCTTATTTTTTAACTTTTCTTATTTCAACAAGAAGGAGAGAACAAGCACGAATCAATTTCGGATTAGGGAATTTTTAAAAAAATTGATAAATTATAGGGACTTATTCGAAAATTTTAGAAATTTTTAACTATATTACGATTTAGTTCACCAAATATATAATTTATGAGAACTTTAATAAATGCATAATAATGATAATTAAAATGCACAATATTGTGTGCGGATATACACATTACAAATAGTCAGATTTTACAGAACTATAGAATTGCCACCGTCTATAATTTAGATGATAAATACAGAAGAAAACCTACACGCTATTGCCACCATTTATAATTATAGTGTTAGAATATCACTTGTGAGTTGTCCCACATCGTTCATACATGAAAAATAGACCCACCTTATAAGTCTAATGGACTACTCCCCCTTTCACCAATTGATTTCGGGATGGAACCTCATTGAGCTTCATCTGGGCTTTCCCTTGTCATGGTGCGCTTCATGTTAGTGGGACCGCACCCTTTTGCAGCTTGTCGTCTTTAGATGGAAAATAACCTTTCCACAATTAGGTTACATGCATTAAACAGTGCACTCGATCGATTCCCAAGAAGCAGTATTAAGTTGTGTGACGTAAATTATATATCTTTTAAACGTATCCATGCTGCTACTTCTGTACCTTCGTGATGGACTTAATTTGAAAAACCAAGAAACATTAGAAATATATATATCTTGATCACATTTGGTGAAGGATGAAAATACACAAAGATTTTTCAAGTTATCCTGAAACCACTTTCTTATTGCTTGCGGAGGATGAGAATAATGGAGCCGTAAGACAAGCAGCCATGCTGAGAAGAAAACTGACTCGGGAGACATGAATTAGCCACTACAGCCTTTTCTTTAGAATGCACAAATATATTCTTTGAACTGAGCTACTACAACCTCTCTATAATGCACAAATGTATTCTTTGTACTTGTATCTAGTCTGATTTGTGTTTGTCCATGCACAAATGTGTTTTCAAACATATGCAGGAACCAATGTATGTTCAGTTCAACCTTTGTTCTTGCAAATGCAGAAGAAGAAGAAGAAGAAGAAGAAGAGTAACAGAAATTATTAAATTTTTATATTGCCAAAAATCTCCAATATGACGCACAAATTTACAAAATGACAAATACGATAAAAACCTCATTTTCTATATTGATAAAAGTATCTGAAAATGTCTTTCGATGTATCTTGTTAGTCTAATTGCTGTGAGCTTATAGCTCAAGTGATATCTCATACCATTTATAAGGATGTTGCACCGGTTGATTTAGGCTTGATTGGACATAAGTTTTGGATTGAATGCATATTGATTCATCATGTTCGTGTGGAACGACTTCATGAACAAGTGGGATGAGTGGTGAGATTGATGCTTTTTTTTTGGATTTTATTTTGGTAGATCATTAGGACATGAAGAGAAAAGGATGTGTTGCTCGATGAGTTGGATTCAGGTGTCGGGAGGAAACTGGTTGTTTTGATTATTGTTCTGGAGAGCTGGCATTGTGGATGATAGTCGTCACATTGTCAATTCAAATCTTTGGCACTTTGAATTGTCTGTTCTTTCGTTTTTTCTTCTTTGATTTTATTTATTTCGTAGTTGTGTTGTTCACTAAGGATGATATCTTGCACCTAGATCAATACAAAGAAATTGCATCAATGGTTGAAGGTCAAACAAAACTTTTGCAATGAAGAAAATATCCGATATTCGAATACATACATTTGCGGATAGTGAAAAAAAAAAAATAATAATAACGAAAATACAAACATAATAAAAGGGAAGATGCATTCCAAAGTAATGCAAGAAAGATTAATAATAAAAGGGAAGATGCATTCATTCCAAAGTGAATAACTAAAGAGAATGCAACAAAGATTAATGAAACAAGAGCATAAATAGAGTTGAGTTTTCAAGGGGACTAAAAA